ATGCCAGTTAGACAGAGGTCAGGTGGCTTCTTTCTGGAAGCACAGGCGACCCGTAGTAAAGTGAACATCACTGACTCATATCTGGATTTTTGCTTTGCATTAATACTCCTGCAGGTTTTTCTCAAACAAGAGTTTTTGAACTTATTGGTCTGACGTAAAATCCAAAATAGTTTCTAGTCATATAATTAGACAGCCATAACAATTCCTCTTGGTCATGATGCTCTGATTTCATTGTGAAATGCCACAAATATATCCAGTTAATGCATTAAATAGGAAAAGACTTGCTGAAGGACTCAACTTATTAATGATTCAGTAGAACTTCTTAAAACATCAATTTGAAATTCATTTATAATTCATTTCACAGCTTAGCTGCACTTCCCACAGGGCAAATATTTATCAAATATTACTCTGTTTTAAGTCCTTCCTTTACATTTATTTGTAGAATACTTTTTCCCACAAATAATGGCTAAACTTCCTAAAAGCATCCATCCATCTACTGTAATTTAATGTGCATTTTCTGATAAGGTGACAGTAATGGGCTTTCAGATATAACAGCACACACTGTACAATCAAACAAAAGAATAACTATTAAACATAATAGCTGGCTATAAATTGAACAAGATACACCGACTACATCATAAATATTTATTAGAGAGCAACTATCATAATTAATAAACTAGCATCTTAAAACCCTGCCATGGCATGAAAAACTTCACCACTCACCTGCCAATGAACCACACATCACCAAATGAGTATTTTCAGTATGAAAATCAGAAAATCTGGCCTGACTAGTTTAAGTGGATTTATGAGGGTGAGCGAGTAGAGGATCTTGGATGAGGCTGCTCACAGTCCTATCCCCCCGCACTGACCATGTATGGTCTCTAATTCCAATGGCTTATCGCAGCTACAGGGCAATTGCTAAAACGTAGATAATACTGGTTTCGGATTAGAAACATGGATATCCTTGAAACTTCATCAGATTGCTTAAGTTCTCCATGTCAACTACACAGCAAAAATAACATCTACTTAAAAGAGTTGATGCAAAGCCAAAAATATCATATATAACATACTTGCTAAGTACCCACTCTACTATTACTACTTCTATTACTTCTGATACTTGCACCACTACATCCACTACTGTTACCACTTCTACTATTAAAACACTAGGCAAGTTATTTCATCCCAATTCTCTTAGCCGGGATACTATTAGCGAGCACATATAAATAATAATAATCCTGATTTCTTTAGACCTGAAGCCCATAAGGCCCACTAAACTAGCAAAAACAAACAAACAAACAAATAAACAAAAAACCAAACCAAAACAAAACAAAAACCAGACAGTAACAAGTGGTGGTGAAGATGTGGAGAAATTGGAGTCCTCGTATAATGCTAATGGGAAAGTAAAACAGTGCAGCCACTTCAGAAAACATTTTGGCTTTTCCTCAAAATCTTAAATATAGAGTTACCATATGACCCAGCAATTCCACTCCTAGGTATATATCCAAAAGAAATGAAAATATATGTTCACACAAAAACATATGTAAATGTTTATCCCAGCAGTAATCAAAATAGCCCAAAATAAACAACCCAAATGTCCATCAACTGACAAGGAGATAAACAAAATGTGGTATATCCATAAAATGGATATTATTCAGAAATAAAAGGAATGAAGTACTGATACTTACTGCCACATGGATGAACCTTGAAAACATTATACCAGGTGAAAGAAGCCAATCAAAAGATCACATATTATAGGATTCTGTTTATATTAACTGCGCAGACTAGACAAATCCATAGACACTATGGGAAATAGATTGGTGACTACCAGGGGTTTGGTTGGGTAGAAGGAGGGTAGAATGAGGAGTGGCTGCAAATGGGTACAAGGTTGCTTTCTGGGGTGATGAAAATATTTAAACTTAGTGGTGATGGTCGCACAACTTTGTGAATATACTCAAGACCATTGAATTTTAAGGTATATGAATTGTATCTCAAAAAAGGTATAATAAAAATAGAACTAATAAAATACATAAGGCCAACCACATATTTGGGGAGTGGCAGAAGGAAATGAAGTCATCTTTAGTGGATCTGTCGTGCTCTGTCAAGAACTGCCAGTACCACACAGGACCCTCCAGGCAGGACAGGCAATGTGGACTTGGACACAAGCGACAAAGTGAGTGGGGTTGTGGGCAGTCACAACTCCTCATCCAACACATCTGCTCTCCCACTAGGAAGTGAGTTATTTAGGATAAAAATTAGAACACAAGAGTAGGAAGAGTAGGAATGCTATAAGCTCTAGAGTTGAAAACATCTGTTTAAAAGCTGGGGTTTAAAGCCCTGTTCCCATATATACTATCCTGTGACCTTGGACCAGTTATTTAACCTCTGTGGGCTTCAGTTTCTTCATCTATACAGTGGGTATAACCACAGTACCTTATTTCACATGGATGCAGGAGGATACATTTAACAAATGTAAAGCCCTTAGAATGGTGTCTGACAAAGACTAAGTGCCATCACCACCATAGGCATTGTTGAAAATGTAGTTCTTGATGTTAGAACAGGCTGCCTCTGCTCTCACAATCAAACACAGGCATGCAGCACAGTAACATCTGCTCCCATTAACATCCCCCATATAATTTCAATCAAATTTCCTGCTTTTTGAACCAAGAAGGGTAGGCTTGTCCTTTGTTCATCTACTGATGACAATTGCTTCCATGAGGCCCCTTCATTAATACAGAAAATAAATACACCCAGGGAGGGCAGCACAGCAAGTATGCACCAACTAATTACAGCAGCGGCTACTGCTAAGGTACCTATAATATAAAGAGCCAGGTAGAGTTTCAGGAATTTTCCAGACACGACCGCATTGAATTTTCACAACAAGCCTGTGAGGTAGCTATGGTTGATGCCATCACTTTACAGATAAGGAAAGTTCAAATATGTTGAGTAACTTCACCAAGTTACCACACAGTCAAATAAGTCAGTGCTGGAATTTGAACCCAGATCAGTTTTGTCTGAGGGCATTTTCCAATACATTATTACTCCAGATATCCAAGAGAAGAGCAGTTATGAAAATAATTGAAAACAAGAGAAGAGTGCTTGCTGACCAACACAATCATATGTGCATACTCAGATAACAGTCAGAGTGCCAAAGTACATTCAGTGCCATTCACTCCTCCACACCTTCCTTAATTCACTCACACATACAGTAAGCATCTATTATGTGCTGGGATCAAGATTGCCTTTGAAAAATATTGACTTTACAAAGAAAATTAGAGAATAACAGAACAATATGATCAACACACTAATTGAAGAATGTACTGGGCAAAGCCGAGAGCAGGAAAACTTCAATTGCTTGCTCATAAACTGGCAACAAATGATCAACCGATGCTACAGTAAATATCTTATGAACAATAAGAAAATAGTCTGTCAACTAAAAATCTAAGTCAGATTTGATGTGCTATTAAGATTGAGTTTATCTTAGAAATGCAATACTCTTTTTTTTTTTTTTTTTTGAGATGGAGTCCAGCTCTGTTGCCCAGACGAGTGCAGTGGCATGATCTCGGCTCACTGCAACCTCTGCCTCCTGGACTCAAGCAATTCTCCTGCCTCAGCCTCCCAAGCAGCTGGGATTACAGGCGCGTGCCACCATACCCAGCTAATTTCTGTATTTTTAGTAGAGATGGAGTTTCACCATGTTGGCCAGGCTGGTCTGGAACTCCTGACCTCAGGTGATCCACCCGCCTCGGCCTCCCAAAATGCTGGGATTACAGGCGTGAGCCATTGTGCCTGAACTACTTTTAAAATGAGAGTTAATAATAAAATGTCACTGAATTAACAAAGCAATTATGATATGCAAAAGTCATTTCCATTGAAAATGCCATAAGAGTAAACAGTAAAATGCCAGAAATAAATAAGAATTAAAGGAATATGTTTAAAATTAAACTTAAAACATTAATAAGAAGGTATATGGTAAAATACCTATGTTATTGCCGAATATTATTTAACATAGTTTTTGTTTTCATTCATCAGAAGAGTAAAGGACATTTCCAGTGTAAATTCTTTTGATAATCTATTGCCAAGCCGGATACTCATCTCTAAATTTTACTAAAATGTATGTACTGATTATTCGCTATAAATTGAATCAGATATTATTTTCAAATTAGGGATATAGCAAGTAAGATTTCTTTTAAATTATATCAAATCTAAATCTTTTAAGATAGTGGCTATTAAAATTAGTTGACTTCAATCTTTATTATTATGAAAAGAAAATATACTTGCATGGAAAATAATTTTTGAAGTGTAATATGTTGTAGAAAATTTAATAAATTCTACAGATGCTTTCAGCTCTCTGAGAAAAATAAAGGATAAAAATAAAGGATAGTATAGAAATATTTTAATCAAATCCTTCATTCGAAATCTAACCTTTTGTTTTTAGTTACAGTGAATAAACTTTTTAATTTTTTGTATGACACAGAAAAGCAGGAAACAAAGATTTAATTGTCCTTGGTAAGCTGTTTAATGACAATGATTTCAAGAAAAATAGAATAATGCCAATAAAAAGAAGCTTAAAAAAAGAACTGACAGTAAAAGTCAAAACACCAAATCCAAACAGAAATGTATTAGAATCTCTCTCAAAGTCAGTCATGTCTCATCTACAGATTTTCCCCTGTACATACACGTAAGCTGGGAATCTCTCCATCCAAAGACCCGTGACAAGAAATTAAACCAGTTGGAGTTTTATTCTTCTGTTGTACCAAAAAATCAGAGCCTCTGCAGCCACTTTAAGGTGTAAGTTACACCCTCTCCTTTTTTAGGGATTCTCTAGTCCCATCTTGGCCAGGGTCAATCTTCAAGGTCAAATCCAGAATGTTTTTTCCCCCAGAAAACTATTGTGCAGATGAATTAAAAAATGAGGGAGGTTCATAGAATGGGAAGGTAGAGGAAAAATACTAATGTAGGAAAAATACTGATATAATAACATAGTAATTTAAAATATGTACCTTTATTCTTTGGTCATCAACATCTACAATCGTAGCAACACGAATTAACCTGGGGTTCCGTTTATCCACAACTTCAAGTTTCATATTTGGCAGAAAACCATGAGGCAACCTCTGTAAATGTTATAAGTACAAAAAAAAATGCAATATTCAGTAATTCAGATCTCCTACTAATTTTTTCTAAAATACTATTGTTTCAGTTTTAGTAAGCCGATCTTTAATACAACTGGAATTTAGGTTTTCTTTGTTTTTTTGTTGTTGTTTGTTTGTTTGTTTGTTTTTGAGACAGAGTTTCACTCTTGCTATCCAGGCTGGAGTGCAGTGGTGCAATCTCGGTTCACTGCAACCTCCACCTTCCGAGTTCAAGCGATTCTCCTGCCTCAGCCTCCCAAGTAGCTGGGATTACAGGCATGTGCCACCACACCCAGCTAATTTTTGTATTATTAGTATGACAGGATTTCACCATGTTGGCCGGGCTGGTCTTGAACTCCTGACCTCAGGTGATCTGCCCACCTGGGCCTCCCAAAGTGCTGGGATTACAGGCGTGAGCCACCTTGCCTGGAGAGAATTTAGTTTTAAGTGCACATAGGACTGTATACATATTATTTCATCTGATTCACAAAAACCTGTGAGAGAAAAAATAACTTTTTGGCCATTTTAAAGACAGCTAAAAAGACAAAGACAGATTATATCATAAGTTTGTTAATGATTACAGTAAAGTTCAAAAAGCATCTTATTACAGTTTCTATATTGGTTTAGATTTTTTTCTTCTTTCTGATATTGACCATATAATTTCAGAAACTATTAACTATTCTCATTGCCCAGTTTCAAAGTGTATGGCACAGAAGGCAAAATTATTTAATAAATACTCAGAAAAGATAAACATGATCCTTTATAAATCTAAAATATGCTTAGATAAAAGCTGTGTAATTTCAGCTGTTAAACTGTTTTAAAATCATACTATGATACCCTTTAAAGTCATAACCTATGCTTTTGTCATTTCAACTGTAACAAGAGACAGGTGATCTGTGTGATGGTTTACTTCAAGTCTTACATTGCTAGGAACCAAGAGTCTGTAACCACAGACACACCAGGAGTCATAATCACAGAGGAAGAAAAAAGACACTGGACTTAACCAAATCATGGAAACTAAGGAAATTCAACTCTCAAAAATCAAAGTCAAAAGCAACTCTGATAGTTTCTATAGGTTGGCAAAAAGTTTCACTTTGAAAACTATGACACATAAAAGTGTTCAACTGGTTTTATTGGAAATGAAAGTGTTTTGAATTTTTCAAGTCTAGAAATGGCAAAAGGAAAATAAAACCCTACTAATATGTCAGTAAGAAACCGTCAAATCTTTCTGCAATATCTGGTGTGTTTCTCTTCAGCTTTTGCAGAACATATTTTCTTTGTAAGATGCATTATTACATCTACTAAATGGAGTATACTGACTATAATTAGGTTTTTCACCCCGAGACTCTTTCTGTTCTCCCCAGCGTCACTGTCCTAAACAACAGAGGTAGAAGAGTTCAGCATTGTAGATGTCTAAGATACATCCCTGAGCTGAATCCACAATAACCCAGGACAGAGCCTGAAAGTTGCCTTCTTCGCTACTTTTCAGAATTTTATTTTCTTGTCATTTTCCTCTTGGAAAAGTCAAGTACAGTAAGTATTTTTGCTTGCTGAATCTTTGCTCTTCTTAAAACCCTTCCCAGTACTCCAGCACTTCTACTTTCCTGATTTTATTATATGAACATTTCCCCCCAAATCCAGTCAATTATAATCAATTTTTTCAAAAAATGAAATATCATTTTGTTTCAAACCCCTCTTGATCTCTAGAAAACTTTCAGTAAATGAAATCATATGTAGAAGCCCAATATATAAAATTCTGATTAAAGACAAGTTGGAGAACTTGAAACACACAGAGAACTGAAAGGAAATAGAGTTTGAAAACCACTGGTTTAGGTTTAGGAAATAAATATCTTTAACTGTACTACCTATGTACTTTATTTTAGAAATTAATTTATATTTAGTTCAATCCTAGAATAAATATGTAAGTACAAATTTGAACTTTAAAAATTAGTATTCTAACAAATGCTAAAAGAAAGGTTTACCTCAAAATATATAAAATTATCCACACAAAGGCTATGCATCTCAACTATTTTGTTATGGCATCACGGACATTCAAACAGCCCCTGAGAGTGTGATACTGTGAAAATTCAGAGTTCTCACTCAGCAGACTAATAGCACCAGAAATGTAAGGAATCAGCAGTTGATGAGGTGTTTTCAATTGTATCTCTGATTTACCATTTTCCAAGGAAGGAAATCATCATCTACATCCGTATATAGGAACAATAGCAAATGAGTCATCTACTTTGTATTTTTAACTAAAAGAAAAGCATATTGGTTATGAAATTACTACTTGAATTTAGAAAGAAAAAAACTAGAATAATTTTAAATTAGAATAATTTTAAACTGCCAAATGAAGGCATGACTCAATACAAACATTGTTTAAAGGTGAGAGTTTGTACCCATACAGAACTTACCATTTTAAAAACTTTGGCAGGGACTGCATTGGTTTGAGTAGCTTCCAGGTATTCTGTCCAGGAAAACTTTTCTGGATTGGGATAACCTGAAAATATATATATAAATACCAAAAGATTACTCATAGATATTCTGATTCCCATATACTACAAAACATTTTATAACACCTAATGTTAATTGAATGCTCACCATTTAACAGGCCTGATGCTAAGAACTTCAGATACATTAATTCACTTAATCATAACCTCTTGAAGGCTAAGGCATGCCTGTGTCCAAACACTTCCTCAATGGTACTTTCATTCACTCAACAAGGTTAAGTGGATTGGCCAAGGTCAAAGGCCATGTGAGTACTTGGCAGAGCCAGGTGACACCCAGGTTTCTGACTCCCAAGCTCCAACAAAAGCCTCCTTAGAAGTTTGAAAAAACTTACAAGCAACCATCTGACCTCAAACCATGAATTGGAAAAAGAAGACTCTGAAAATCTTTCAAATTTCTCTAATCATTCTATGTCTATTAAAGTTTTAGTCTCATTATTAAATCTTTATAATTACAATTTCCTACAATTGCAATTAAAAATATATATTGAATATGATATAAAGAACTCTGTTTATTTCAAAATTCCTTCTTGTTTCTCTTTATGTTTGTGTTCTTTCATTCCTAATTAAATTTGCTAGAGTTCTATATTGTATAGTTTTATTTATCTTTCCAAGCAATAAGTATTTAGATTTAATCATCAGCTCTTTTTTCCTTCTTTTTTCTTTTCTAATTATATTGTTTACTGCTTTTACTCTCATTACTACCTCCCTCCTACTTCTCTTTGGTTTATTTTATATTTGTTTTGTCAAACTGAATTATAATTTATTGCATTTAAAAAAACAAGAGACAATGAATCTGCCACTATGGCCACTAAATTCAGGTTTAGACAGCTGGACACATTTTAAAAAAATATGTATTCTTCTTACTTTTTATTTTCTAAAAACCAATTATAATTGCTATCTCTGTTGCCTTGATTTAATCCTTAAATATATATTTGAGATATTCCAAGTAATTTTCATATTTGTTTAAAATAGTAATACTAATATCTAGTTTACCACATTGTAGTTTCAGACTGTCACGTGATATATAGAATTCCTGCTTTTGAGGTTTGAGGATTTCTTTTTAGTGTAAAATAGAGTTAACAATTTTTTTAAACAGAGTATATATATGTTTTAAAGTATGGTGCCATTTGCAGTAATACAATCTAGCTATATTATTCAAAAATCTGTTCTTTAAGCAGAAAGTCTGAAGCAATACGCTAAAGACTCCAAAATAACTATTTTTTCTATAATTCTCCCATATTTCGGATCACTTTTCCTTCGTTTTTATGCTTTTTACTAAAAATATATTTAAAGAGGAGTACACGAACCAAGTGGATAGACTGAACATTTTTTAAAAAACTAACATACATGCCTAACCAGACACAGATCTAAGCCAGGACATTTCCAGAGCCCCAGGATCCCTTCCCCATCATCCTCCCTTCTAGGTACCACACCGCCCTCCTCAAAGAGAAATCCCTACCCTTGCTTCCAACCACAGAAATCTGTTTTCTTCTGTTTTTCCCTTTATATCAATGGAATCACACAGCACATGCTCCTGGTGGTGAACATATTTTGCTCAGTATTCTGAATGTGAGGGTTGGGTAGATGATTGCCTTCAGAATATTCATTTTCATTGTTGAATAACATTCCATTATTTTACAATTTATCTATCTATTCTACTGATTGTGATCATTTGGGTGGTTTCCATTGGGAGCTTTATTTAAAATGTTGCTATGAACATTCTAGTATATTATTTTTAGTGATAAGAAGTACACATTTATGTTGGAATTCATCCAGGAGTAAAACTGCTAGATCATGGAGCATTTTTGCTTCGTATTTTGATGTTACATCATTCTGTACAGAAAATGTTTGGCATGAGTTGTACTTTCTATTTATTCTTAATATAGAGAAAATTTCCCTTTCCCTTTTGGATACATTTCTGTATTTTGTCTCAAATTATTTTCACTAAAAATGATACTGCCACCCTATTATTTTCTACTTGTGTTTGCTGACAATATTTTACCCATCGTTTTTACTTTTATATTATTTTTCCAGATATATCTATTTTAAACACTTTCTAAACGGAGTTTTGGATTAGTTTACATTTGTTTTCATCACTAGTTTTTAAATCTAATTTCTGTAAACATGTTTTAAGCTGAATATTTTTAAGCTCTCCTAGGTTTCCTTTGCTTTCTGTCCTTTCCTTCACAAGCTATACTATATATCTTAAGTTTCAATAAGTATTTCTGCAGTTGCATTTACTTTTTCTTTTTCAAGAGATGAGGTTTCTCCAGGCTGCCCGGAATGGAATGCAGTGGCTATTCAGACACAGTCATAGAGAACTGCAGCCTCAACCTCCTGGGCTCATGTGGTTCTCCCACCTCAGCCTTCTGAGTAGCTGGGAGTACAGGCACATGATACCACACCCAACTCTGCATTTACTTTTATAGCTGATATTTTTAAAAATCATCCAAATCCATTTATTACATTTTGGATCTCCACATTTTTGTGTAAATTTTGAACCATGCCCACACCCGGCCCCTTCCATGCTGGGCTGCCTCATCCAGGCACCTGACGGGAACATATGGTTGGATGCAGTGAAAGGAAACCTGAGTGTAGGGCACTAAAGACTGAATGTGAGGTAAGTGAGAGTGACAGCACCTCGTCCTGCCCCAGCCTGGTAAAGAAACTCGCCATGCTACTGTGAGAGGCATTATCTTTCTTCCCCTTTTTGTGATAAACAAGTGAAAATTAAAGGCTGTGACCGTTTTAAATGGCTCTTAAACAACAATTGCATCTATGCCACTCTCAGAAATGAGCTATGTACATGCAAAAAAGGGAAAACATTGTACCTGTATATTCCCTGTTCAATGAACCCAAGGAGAGAAGAATGTCATATGGCCCAGGGAGACTTGCAAAAGCCACCTACTCCCACTTTCTTCCTTCCGACCCCAGCCCTGAGGCCTGGTAGACCTTGGGAAGCAAGAAGTAGGGCTGGAGGGGGAGTGGGAGGGGCCAGGTCCATGCACACAGCTCTGCAGCAATACCATGGAAGAAGCTTTCCAAAGATTTAAATTCCTACTTGAGACAAGAATGAAATACAGGAGACCGCCCCATGCAACAAGAATAGCCTTTAACCTCTTCACCCCTCTCAATGAAAACCCACCTCTAACTGGCGTCCTTTTATTGGTAAGCACTGTATTCACTTAATTCAGTCAGTTATTCCTCATCTAGTCCCTGTGAGGTACACTTTTTATCTACATTTTTTAGGTGAGAACTTGAACCTTGAGCAGCCTGCCAAGCGCTATACATTAGAAAGTGGAAGAAATGGGATCTCAAGGATGACGCGTGGCTCCATCAGCCTCGTACTTACCACTTCGTCCCGCTAAGATTGAAAACGCAGCGCATCTATGATCCAAGGCAGCACTTTTCAGGCCTCAGGACTGAGAGGCTGAGCTCCCCCTGGAGGCCAAGGCGTGGAACTGCGACAGCGAGAGGGCGGGACTACAGACAGCTGGATGGGAGACTGGGCTACACTGTTTAAATTATTTATTCATGTCCCACCTCAATCTATGCCATTTTGACTTAAAAACTTGCATGCTTTGGTTCAGCCACCCATGCCCACAGCCACAACTTGGACCTCATTCTTTAGGTGGGCATGGGTGGCTGTGGGCATGGGTGGCTGAACCAAAGCATGGAAAAAGTGTCACAGAAATTAAGATAAGGAACTACTGAGCTACGGCGTCAGCCACTCAGCCCTGGATTTCCTCATGGTACCAGCAATTCTTCCGGTAAAACGGTAGATCTGGGTGACAAATATCTTCAGTTATTGATGAAGAATAATTAAAAATCATCTAGATGGTGGCAAAATTAGGGGTGAGATGTAGTGAAGCCGAACAGCCTGAGCCCTCAGGAAGAAGGGGTTTTTCCAAACAGCTGAGAACTGTTTTAGAAGAAGAGAAGAACTACTTGGGATATGGCAGAATAAGCCATCTCCTTTACAGGCTGCAGGGAAGTGGTGGCCTCGAGAGGGACAAAGGAGGAGGCACTGTGTTAAAAAACTGGGGTCAGCTGGGCATGGTGGCACACACCTGTAGTCCCAGCTACTCAGGAACCTGCAGTGGGAGGATCACTTGAGCCACTGAGTTCAATGCCAGCCTAGGAACATAATGAGATCACGCCTCTATTTTAAAATAAAATTAAAAAAAGAAAAAGAAAAAGAAGAAGCTGGGATCTAGGGAGATTATTTCCAGAACCTGGAGAGGAACGCATTCAGGGTCAAGAAAAAGTCCTTCTGGAGGATGCAAATATGGAAGCATAAAAGGAAACATGTAAGGGTTAAACTAAGGTAAATATAAGTTAAAACTTTCTGTACCATTTCATTCCAATGGCTTTCTCGATTACTCAGGGGAAAAGCAAGTGCTTACCATGACCCACAGGGCCCTACAGAATTTGGCCCCACCACTGCTCTGACCTCATCTCCCGTTCACTACACTCCTGCTATAACTAGAACACTGCAGACATCCTCCCTCTTGAAGTTCTTGTACTTGTTGTTCCTTTACTTGGAGAGTTATCTGTAGATATCCTCCAGACTTGCCACCTTATCTCAAATGCCACTCAACTGTCACTTTCTCGTTCAGTCCCACCCTGAACTCTTTATATAATAGGGAACCCCCCTCCCAAATGTATGTGCCCTTCCTAACCCCACTACTTACCTTATTCTTCTCCACAGCACTTATTGGTACCTAACACAGTGTGTGTTTTGAATATTTCTGTTTCTCTTGCTCCATTAGAACATAGGCTGCCTTATGATAGGAATATGTTCACTTCACTGCTATTTCCTCACAACATACAGCTGGTATTCAGTAAGTATTTGGTAAATATTTGTTGAATGAATAAAATATATTTCTTGAAACATTTGCATTTTACATTGTAGTGGCCAAGAATGACAGAGATATAAGCCAAAATGATATCAGTCTAGCCTCAAAATTCTGAGCAAAACTGATACGAA